TGAAGTGGTGCTTTCGGACTTACCAGCTCCCATATCACACATCTGGCCGGTACGTTCACACTCATCGCAGCTGCCCCGGTCGACGTCATAGACACATGGGTTGGCTGGCTGTATATGCCTGCAGCGTCTGCATGATATCTGGGTGCCCTATCGTCTGATGCAAGTGAGAAATACGTTTATGATAGGGTAAGGAGTTCTAAAATATAGTGTGGCTTGCCTGTGGATTTGTTTCGTCCATCGATGAGGGTTGGTTAGGGTTAGGCTGACTATGTCTTTGATGAAGGGTTAGGTAGGCAGGTTAGTATGGGTAGTATTCTGCTGGTAAGTTCGAGTCTTCCACTGGTCTTACAATCTGACACTATGATTCACAAAGGCGGAGTTTGTTCTATTTCTCTGATCGTAATAAATTTCTAAAGAAGATGTGGGTTAGATATGTTGTTCATGCCCCAGTGTGGGTGATAGTCTTCACATGCTGACTGACTAGGGCCGATTGTTGCTGATGAGGGATTGGATTTCCTTCATCGCCTCAAGCTGGTCGTCGTCATCCTCAGCGGGCTTATGCTTTCAAGCCAGAAAGACTGATTGTGTGAATCTATCCTTAGCCAGCCATCGGCCTTCTCGGTTTGCATGCTATCACTCTTTGGAATATCCAAAGTTATTTGTTTGCGCTATAACTCTACCTCGCATTGACTTACTTCATGCACCACCTTGTAGACTGTCATGATATAGGTGGATCAGGTCACTCGATGTCACCTCTGCAGAACAGGCTCCTTCTTGAACAGTATTGACTTAGCTGCCTTAGCCGCACGCCGAAAGGCCCTACTGAGCTGATGTAGTTTATTCTGACTGGGCATACTGACATCATTCAAATGGCTGCCTTGGCCATGTGGGATTTTCATCGGCGTTCTCGGTTTCCATGCTATGATTCTTTGGTATAACCAACGTTATTTGTCTGCGCTATAATTCTACCAAGCATTGACTTACTTCATGCACCAACTTGTAGACTGTCATGATATAGGTGGATCAGGTCACTTGATGTCACCTCTGCAGAACAGCCTCGTTCTTGAACACTAAGGAGTTAGCTGCCGAAGCCGCACGCCAAAGGGGCCTACTGCGCTGATGTAGCTTATTCTGACTGGGCATACATACATACTGACATCATTGAAATGGCTGCCTTGGCCATGGTGGAACTTGTGTGATCTCCTGCTATTGTCCGGATCGCTCGGCCTTGTCTCTAGTTCAGGGTTCTTTGTCACTGAGTTACTGTAGATTCTGCTGGGGACTGTTCGCGGTTGATGTCTTTCGCTTATCTATCACGAGCCAATTTCGGTTGTTGAACGGTTCATCGAACATATGAAATCCTATTTATAACCTAATTGACCGATGGGTTTTGTCACCAGGGCTGTATCCCTCCGGTAGTGCCATCTTCTGAACCTCTTCTCTTTCTTTAAGGTTCACATCTTCCACTTCCGGATTATGTCACTTTGCGGAAGAGTAATTTATATATCTATCAGCCAATTCACTGCAAGTCTCTTCAACGTGAGGTCGCTTCAGTTTTGGTTGTATCAGGTTACTTAACTGAAGTTGTTTCAACTTGACGTCATAGTAATTCAATCGAACTATTGTATTTGATGTTCTGTGGGATCAAGTACTCCACTTCCGGGGTGTTATTCTTTCCGGAAGTGACATTCACTGAGCCTCACCTGCTTTTTTATGGTATTACATCTTCCAGTCAGTCACGGATTATGTGAGTTTGCGGAAGGGAAGGGGACTCATGTTGAGGCATGTGTATGTCAGCTAAGTCAAATCAATGTGAGTATATTGTTTCTAATTTCTTTGTGGTTTGTCCACCTCCGGGACCTAGTACCTTCCGGTAGAGAAATCGTCTGGAGCTCTTCTCCCTCTTAATGCTCTGGTCATATCTTCCACTTCCGGAGTATATGAGTTTGCGGAAGAGAAATGACAGACGGTTGTATCAGGTTACTTAAATGAAGTTGTCTCTCCTTGAGCTCTTTGTAATTCAATGACATTGCCTGAGCTTCTCCTCTGTTTAATGGTATTACATCTGTTTATGTGAGTTCGCGTTGTATCAGGTTGCTTCAATGGAGTTGTTTCAACTCGCGGTTTTGGTTACATCTGATGCTCTGTGGTATCGAGTACTCCACTTCCGGGATGTTGTTCTTTCCGGAAGTGACATCAACTGACCCTCACCTCCCTTTTTGTGGTATTACATCTTCCAGTCACAGATTAAGTGAGTTTGCGGAAGGGAAGGGGACTTGTGATAGTCGTGACAGATCGATATATCAGGGTATTTAAATGAAGTCGATTTCTTAGTAATTCAATCATTCTATTGTATCTAAAGTTTGGTCGTTTCAAGTTTTCCACTTCCGGAATGTTGTTCGTTCCGGAAGTGACATCGACTGCTTCAATGGAGTCGTTTAACTTGTGGTCTTAATAATTCTATCACTATATTACATCTGATGTTCTGTGACATCGAGTACTCCATTTCCGGGATGTTGTTCTTTCCGGAGGTGACATCAACTGTGGTGACCCCTTCAGAAGTTCTCATCTCATTAGTCACTCCCGGGATGTCAAAGATGCCGGAAGTGACTACCCCACCAATCGAGGTTTGTCAGATCATCACTTTCCTCAATATATTCTCATCTCCTCCTTTTCAGTGGGTATTCATTTGGCTGGGCTAGTTACTTCCGCGATCTTGATGATGCCGGATGTCATTATCCAATCTATCGAGGACTTCTGCATCATGTGATTTGCGGAAGTGATATCAACTTGGCATCCTCATCTAGGCCTCTACCTCTTAGTGGAGTATGTCTCTTCTACCTCTTAGGCTTAGCCGACTTCCTCTCCCCTACTTTTTATTCTACTTCGACTCACGATCGTTCCCTCTGGCTTCCTTCTAATTCCACTTCCGCAACCTTTGAGTTCTCGGAGGTGGTTTGGTGATCTGATCATCATGTATTGGTACAATGTGTTTCACTTCCGGCATCTTGTGGATTCCGGGAGTGGATCTGTAAAATCGTGTCATACTGACCCGTTGTCTTCAGGATTCCTTGAACGTACCCCTCCATCCAACTATCGAGACGATGTGTTCCACTTCCGGAATCTTGTTGTTTCGGGAGTGAAAATAGGCTTTCAAATCGTTTTAATTATGTGTGCCTTTCACTTCCATTTATTTCATGGGATGTTAGTATGATCGACTTCTGCAAAGATGGTGCCCCCTTAATGGATTGTCTTTGAAATCCCATGGGTCAATTCCGGGAACAATCACTTTCCGGAAGTAACTATGAACACCCAGCATCATATGTAACACTTCCGGTCTCTTCGATTGACCTTAATTGAACTCTTTTGACGCCTCGTGCAAATCCAAATCTAGTCTCAAGTTTGTCGATATAATCATTTCACTTCCGGGTTCTCTCAGTGTCCGGGAGTGAAATGCGGGTGTGAAATGGCAGGTTTGAATTCTCATCTTCAGAATGAGCTCATAGATACATGTTCAGGACTCGTCTGGTCCCTGTTTGATGGTGATGTCACGGGGCGGGGGGGTCCTACTACATGCCCGGCGCGTTTGGGGGGCTCCATGCTCAGCCCCCGCCCCGCTCCCCTTCTAGACCCCTAGCCCCCCGCGCGCCACATGCTGCTCCAACACTCCTTCGCTGAGGGTCCACAGCTTCGGTTGACTCTCCTGTCATAACCAATTCTCCCATTTCCACTTCGATCACCACTCAACCTCCCAATCGCCAATCACAAGTGTTCCCAAACTTAACAGGTGTGCAGTTCGCATTGTTCTCTCTGGTTACTGTTCGAGTGTTCTCAAGTGCTTACCATCAGCTCCTTCCTGCCCTTTGGCCGTCTGCTCCGGTCTGCATCCGACTCTCTTTCTATCCTTCTGGACACTCAATGTATCCTCCTACGTCCAACTTACCGTTCTCAACTGCCTGTCTGCAATCGACTCTCATTCTATCCTGATACCTGTTACTTGTTACTCGACTATCTCCTGGTTCCTGTTACTCGACTATCTCAACTGGGCATCATCAGACCTCTGCTTTTGTTAGTATTCTCTTGGTTCCTCATTGCAGTTCGCTCGTCCTCACGATCTGACCTTCTGCTTCTAATTCTGTCTGTCTGCTTCCGACTCTCATTCTATCCTGGTACCTGTTACAATCTCAACTTATCACTCTTATTCTATCCTGGATTCGACGATCTCAACTTCAACTGGGCATCATCAGACCTCTGCTTTAGTTAGTATTCTCTCGGTTCCTCTTTGCAGTTCGCTCGTCCTCACGATCTGACCTTCTGCTTCTACTTCTGTCTGTCTGCTTCCGACTCTCATTCTATCCCGGTACCTGTTACAATCTCAACTTATCACTCTTAATCTATCCTGGACTCGACAATCTCAACTTATGAACATTTGAACTTCAGACCTCTGCTTCAGTCAGTATTCTCTCTGGTGCTCAATTGACTACGCTTGTCCTCATGATCTGACCTTCTGCTTCTGCTTCTGTCTGTCTGTCTGCTTCCGACCTTCAATCTTTCCTGGTACCTCCTACTCGCCGATCTCGACTGTTCAACATCAGACCTCTCCTTCAGTCCGTATTCTCTCTGATCCCCATTTCAGTTCGCTTGTGCTCAAGAGTTGACATTCTGCTTCCGCTTCTGTCCGCTCCCGACTCTCAAAGTATCCTGGTTCCTGTGACGCGACGCTTTCTACTCATCAACATCAGACCTCTGCTTCAGTCCGTATTATCTCAGGTCTTTCTTCTTTTCAGTTCGCCTGTCCTCAAGATCTGACGTTCAGCTTCTGATTTTGTCTGTCTGACGCCGACTCTCTATCTATCCTTCATCCTGTTACTCGCCGATCTCTACTCTTCAACTTCAGATAACTGCTTTGTTGGTAATATCTTTGGTCCTGAAATCGGTTGGATTGTTTTCCAAAGTGCTCACGTGATTATTTGACTTCTTCCTATAGCTCGACTGTCCACATGGCGCATGATACTTCGAACGCGTCTTCCCCTCACTCCAATCCGTTGCCAGCCGATCATGGTCCCCCGTTTTCTTTGCCTGAAGACATCCCTTCGTCTATCTCGGAAGGCAACAAAGGTAAGTTTCACTTCTACTTTGATCACCGTTCACCCTTGGGAAGACTCCAGCTCGTCACACTATGTAGCTGGTTTTTCGCTGACTCTGCGGTTCTGCTTGCTCCATCTAGCTATGGAAGAAGGGTTACCGTTCAAACACCCGCAGTCAACCAGTAAGGATCTTCAAGAGAAGACTTCCTCCAGCGCGGCCAGTGTAAGTCAACCTGGTGGTTTTTTAGCTGTACCCATATGGGTTGCTTCACTAAGCATATGTATCATCGCTGTTTATTCCAGGGCGAAAAAACGATTAAGAGGCCCGAGGAATGGAAGGTCCCACCTCCCAAGCGCCTGGCTCGTTTGGTCAATGCTCACCAGAAGATAGTATCTCCGTCGGTGAGTCGTCTCAATATTGGGGCTCTGTTGTCCTGTTTTTTTATTCATTCTGGTCTATCTTGCCCCCGGATTGTCAGGTGCAACGATTGGATAAACCTGGGAAGTCGAAAAAACCCACCGCAGATCAATTCCGTTCGACTGGCCGGGATGGGGCTGCCTTAGACCCGGCGTTATCCGCCGATGAAGAGGATGTGAATGTTGCTGATGAAGAGCAGACTGAGGCCCGATCTTCTGCACTGGTCAACCAGGTAACTATGTCTCTCTCATGTCTCAGGTGCTCCGATCAGGTGGCATGTTTATTGACGTGTTGTTTTGTGTAGATTAAGTCCCTCATCAAAGTGACTCCCAAGAACGCTCCCAAGAAATCGAAGTCCAAGAAGTCGGTGCACAACTCAACTGGTCCCTCGAGTTTGGTTTCAATGGAAATCGATCAACCGGTGTCTGATAACCGCCCGACCAAGGTGGGCTTTTTGGCTTTCATATCTCTGGGCTTTTCCTTCTGAAAGATGGGCCACACGTCGTCAGTGATTTCTGATGTGCTCTTCACTATATCTTTCAAGTTGGCGACTATTCAAGGTCACAAAAAGGTGTCTGGAGGCCCGAGTAATTCTATCGACAAGTCTGACAAGATGCATGTCGATCCGCCCGCTCTCGTCAATCTAAAGAAGACCTTTGCTATGACTGCCGCCGTGCCTGCCAACCAGACCAGCGCTCCTGGTGTCACGCCCTCAACTCCTGCCCCAATGGGTCATCTCTCCAAAGATCAAGCAGCCCTCTCGCGCAGGTTCCCGCAGAAGACCCCTGTGAATACTGGTCACTTAACCCGAACTCCCTCAACCTCGACTACTATCTCAAATGCTGTGCTTCCTAACTTGGCTAAAGCTTCTCTGGCTGAAATGAAGGCCATGAGAGGAATATGTAAGTCTTTCAGCTGATTGTCATCATTCGGGTGGGGTCTTATCAACTAATCTGATCTGGGGTTCAAGGGATACGGGATAAGGATAACACCGCTGCGAACGTTTCCGAGCTGCGAAGGGAGGGTTATCACTTGCTCGCACCGGCTGCCTATGAGTACCAAGATCAACACCTCAGGAGGGTGACGAGGTTTTGTTCCCAGCTGGACCGCAAGATTGAAGAGTCGGAGCGTGCTGGTGTAGTGGAAGAGATTGAAGTCATTGACTTGACGGAAGAACCTGATGATCCTACGGAGACGACCGTTGTTGGATCGACAGGTGCCAAGAGGCCCATTGGTAAGTCTGATTCCTCCTCATGCATCACTGGACATCCTTCTGTTGAATTCCTGGCTAACACCGGCTTGCTTGTTTATTATTATTCCAGAGGGGTCAACATCAATGTCTGTTGATGACAGCCCTGTTGAGTCCAAGAAGGCTCGAATGTCCGGTCAGTGCACATCTGTCCTTCTGCCTTTGTCAAGCATGCTGAGATAGGGTTCGTTCGTCAGGCTCAGCTCCCGTAAAGATTGATCCTCCAAACCTGGGCCCTTACGGCTTCCGTGCGATCTCCGATACGGAAGCCGCTCTCGCTGGCCTCACTCCCCGTTTCCCGGTTAATAAGCAGCCCTCGCTTTCGGAGTTCATCAGTCAATCAAATCCTTCTCTGATGCTGCCACTGTCGGGCAATACGTCAAAGCCTCCTCCCCAGCCGACGACCGGTAACCTGCGGTCGGCTGCCGCCTCATCCGGTTTGACTGGGCCCGAGATTTCCAACTCGTCATCTGCGCAGGGTGTGGCTGGTTCCTCCCCTTCTCTAGTTCTGCCTTCAACATCTGTCTCAGCACCCGCTCCCTCTTCTCTGGTGCCGCCTTCTACATCCAATGTCCTTGACTCAGCGGCCTCAGGTGCTTCTACTTCGAAGAATGCTTCTCAACCGTCTCTCGTTTCTAAGTCTCAGTCGAAGCCGGTGGGTTCAGCTCAACGTGTTACAAGGGGCTCCTTGCGGACTTCCCAACCGACTGCGGCATCAAAGTCTAAATCAAGTGAAAAGATCTCAAACACTACAACTCCGCAGCCCACCAATGACATTCCTCCTGCCTCAAAGGACGTGCCTCCGGCCACGAATGCCGATCCTCAAGCCACCAATGAAGTTGCTCCTGCCTCGACAGATGTTCCTCCTGCTACGAATGATGTTCCTCCAGCCACGAAAGACTTGCCTGCTAACTCTACTCTGGACGACTCCGCTCAACAGTCTCAGGGCGGTCAATCAACCAATGCCCCTTCTGCCTTGCCTCCATCTGGGAGGGTGTTGCCGAATTCGACCTTGCCAGAAAAAAAGAAGGATGCTCAAAACAAGGATAAGGATGTTGTTGACGAGGGGGTGGACGAGTTGGAGGAGCTGTCAGACAAGGAGGAAGCTCCAAAGAAGCGAGGTGGTAAAGGGAAAGGCAAGGCCCAGAAGAAGACTCCGAAAACACCGAAACCGCCAAAGACGCCCAGGCTTAAAGTGTCGGAAATGACGCCAGAACAGAAACTCGAGCGGGATCGAAAGGTAAAGCAGAGGAAGGAGGAGAAGGATAATTGTGTGTATGCAATCCCTCCTCAACCAGGTGGTAAGTTTGTTTCTCTTCCATTTTCCATTGTCTGGTGTGTATCCTCATTGGGTTTTCTCTGGGTCTGTTCAGCTTTATTAGCTCCAATGTGGCCCCCGCTAACGTGCGAGGAGGCTCGGATAGCTCACAAGGACATGCTGGTCAAATCAAGGAATCCTCACTGGAACTACGGCCCCGAACTCATGGACAGGGTGGCAAAGATTGTGAAGGCTTTTGGAGACGATTTCGAGGATGACGAGTTTTACACGAAAATGGATAACTTTAAGCCTGACTTGGAAGCCATCCAAGCCTTTGGCTTGGTGTATAAGGATGAGTTTTTGAACTTGATTCCAACTTGTATGTGTTTTTTTTTGGCCCTGGCCTTTCTGGATGGTGAGATGAGTTTAGAACTGATTTTGATGTTCTCCTTAAGGCCCAAGGCTTGTGCAGGTGGACGCAGCCGATCCGTTCTTCAAAGAAGGTGTTGTAGATCTGTCGATGATTAAGGCGGCGCATGACTCGGACGACAAAGTCAAGGCCTCATCTTGGCAGTGCTTGTACGGAATGATGATCAGGACGGATGAGCACAGCGATTATACTGAGGATCCGCATACGGTCAAGGCAATCGACTCGTCGTTTCGGAAGATCCACACTCTCACCCAGTCTTGTTTCGACCACTTCCATCACTATGTTCTACCTAGCAACAAGCCGGTCTGCGACACATCCGCAACTTGGAAGCAAGATACGATGTTCCAATCTGGCGAGTTTGTATTGGCGAAAATCAAGGCCTTGAAAGCTGGTGCCCAGGGAACTGCTAGCCATGGGAATAAACGAACGGGAAACGGCCTTATGATCTTACAGAAACGGATTTGGGAGACTCTTTTCTGCTGTCTGATGATGCAACAAGCGCTTTTTCTAGACGATCTCGACCACTGTATCAAGACCAAGTCCTTTCCGAACAAAACGATGGTTGTTTCTCAATACATGACAGCAGAAGATCGGAGCAAAAGTCTGTTCAAAACCGGAGACGTGAAGGACCTCAAGGACTCTAAGGCTCTCATTGACTGGGGGCAAGATCGTCTGGCGGCCTTTGGATCGATGGCGATTTTTTTCTTGTATGGTGCGGCTGGTTGGTGGCAGTGTCTGACTGACTCCCACAACTATAACCAAAAGGATGTCTGGGCACTGGTGTATATTGCTGAAGCTAAGGCGGATTGGCTTTACAATAACGGTCACTACCACGAGAGGACCCCTCAAGACACGCCATGGTACCGGATCGATGGCTTTGTGCGTTGGCTACTCCACAAGACTAACATGCATCTCAGACTCACGGCAACGACAGACACGGTCGATTGGCAAGCGGCGCCCCGATTCTGGAATCAACATGTGACTGAACAAACGATTGCTAGGCTAGCGCTGCAAGACATACTGGCTGAAGTCTGTTCGAAGAGTCCACGCAAGTCACTCAATTTTAATGGAGAGGCGGCGCCAGATGTTGTGGTAGACAAAGAAGATAAGCCACTCGTTGACGAGTTCCGATCGACTCTTACCTGCGGTTGGAATGCTACGATTCGTGCCAATGAAGATGCAATGACTAGTCAGCCTGGGCCTGGTGAAGATGAAGGAGAAGCTAACGGCGGCGGCGAAGGAGAAGCTAACGGTGGCGGTGAAGATGAAGAGGCTGCTAACGGTGGGGGTGAAGATGAAGAAGACCCTAACGAAACCCAGGAAGAAGGTGGATTCATCCGACCAAGTCATAGCGGGCGTTCAGAGAACTCTTTTGCGACCAGGCGAGGTGGCAGCCCCAGCGAGGCTTCCTCAAGTTCAAGTTCGGACGAGAGTCAGGTCAAGGTCAAGTTGACTCAGACTAAGGGACGTATCAGGCACCGGAAGCGTTCTTTGGTCCCTTCTTCCAGCTCTGATGACTCTAGCTCTAGCTCTGGCTCTAGTGGTGAGGACGAGGAGGAGACAGACATTGCAAGATCTGACACTGATGGTGGATTAGAGGAGAGAAGCAGAAGACGTGCAGAGCACCCGATGATTGAGTACTCTGCAGGTGTATCAAGGAAGAAGTAGGATAGGCCTCTTTGGTTTCCTCCCATGCTATTGTTTCCCCTTTACTCTTGTTTATGTCTGTTAGCCCCTCCTATCTGACTGTTAGACTTGATGCCATCTTGGCCTGAGTAGGTGGTGATATTTCTTATTTTGCTGTTGTCCTTCACTCGAATGTGATTGCATAGTGTCTGGATGTGATTTTTCCTGTGTCATGATCTAAATGAAATTGATAAAGTGACTGATGATTATTCCCCACTTTGTTATCTGGGTTGGCCTTTGGGAGTATCTTGGTTATTTTGGACCCATACTTTTGATGAGAAAATACATCCTGGGGTCCACTAAGTGCATGGTAATGTGCCTGGATGTGTTCAATTTTTTCCTTTTTTTTTTGGAGTCACTCCCTAGAACTTTGGTTTTTGGGAAGTGTCTTCATTTATTTCAAATTCCTTTTTTCTTGTCAGTCACTTCCTAGAACTTGGGTTTTTGGGGAGTGAGTTCAATTTATTTTTTTTTGGAAGAGACTTCATTTTTTTTTTGAAGTCACTCCTTTTTTTTCATGAGGATGCCATTTCACTTCCGGAAACTTGTAGTTCCCGGAAGTGACTGATTTTTTTTTTTTTTTGGTGGTGACTTCATTTTTTTTTTTTTTTATGAGGATGCCATTTCACTTCCGGGAACTTGAAGTTTTGGGAAGTGACTTCAAATTGGTTTTTTTTTTTTTTTTGAGTAACTCACTAGAACTTGGGTTTTTGGGAGGTGACTTCATTCTTTTCAAAGATTTTTGTTCGTGTCACTCACTTCCTAGAACTTGGGCTTTTGGGGAGTGACTTCAATTTTTTTTGGTAAGTGACTTTGATCTTCATTTTGTTTTGTAATGAGGATGCCATTTCACTTCCGGGAACTTGAAGTTTTGGGGAGTGACTTCATATTGTTTTTTTGTTTTTGTATTTTTGAGTCACTCCCTAGAACTTGGGTTTTTGGGAAGTGACTTCATTTTTTTCAAATTTCTTTTGTCTTGTCACTCACTTCCTAGACCTTGGGTTTTTGGGGAGTGACTTATTTTTTTTTTTGTTTGAAGTGGCTTCATTTGTTTTTTTTGAAGTCACTCCTTTCTTTTCATGAGGATGCCTTTTCACTTCGGAAAACTTGAAGTTCCCGGAAGTGACTTCTTTTTTTTTTTTTTTTGAGGTCACTTCATTTTTTTTTTCACCAGGATGCCATTTCACTTCCGGGAACTTGTAGTTTTGGGGAGTGAGTTCAAAATGTTTTTTTTTTTTTGTGTCACTCCCTGGAACTTGGGTTTTTGGGAAGTGACTTCTTTTTTTTTCAGAAAAATTTGTTCTTGTCAGTCACTTCCTAGAACTTGGGTTCTTGGGGAGTGAGTTCAATTTTTTTTTTGAAGTGACTTCAATTTTTTTCCTGAGGATGCCATTTCACTTCTCCGAACTTGGTGTTTAGGGGAGTGACTTCTTTCCTTTTTGTGCCACTCCCTAGAACTAGGGTTTTTGGGAAGTAGGGGTTAGGGTGTTCAATATTATTTTTTCTTGTCAGTCACTCCCTAGAACTTGGGTTTTTGGGGAGTGACTTCACCTTTTTTTTTTAAAGTGACTTCTTATTTTTTCCTGGTTGCCATTCCACTTCCGGAAACTTGAAGTTCCAGGAAGTGACTTCAGTTTTTTTTTTTTTGTTTGAAATTTGTTTTTCCACCAAGGTCAGTGTGGGATACTTGGGTCACATTGTGAGAAAGTGGGTCATGGCCGTGAGATTTTTGAGGGCTGACTTGTGGTTGGGTCTCCCACGACCTGACCCCCCTCTTGTCTATATAAAGAGGGCCTCCCCCCCCCCCCAGAGGGGGGGGGGGGGGGGGGGGGGGGTATTTTCCCATGCGGGGGGTCTTTTTTACTTCCAATTTTCCACTACAACTTTCTAAAAACCAAAATTTTTTTCAGTCCGCCCCTTTCCCCCCACGGGGTTTCCGAGCCTTTCCTTGTGACAAGGAGACTTTGCCCGTCCC